CCGCCACCCCCCGGGGCGCCGCTGCCCCCATCCCCAGAGCCCGGGGCCCGCTGCCCGGGCAGCACTCACCTCAGCGCCCGCCGACCTGCAACTGCGCAATGGGAGCGAACAAAGGCGCTGCGGGGCTTTATAGCGCTGACGTCAGCAGGGCCGGGGCCCCGGATGTAGCGGCGGCGGGCCCGGGGGGGCGGGGGCTGCGGGCGCGTTCAGCCCTTCAGCACAGGAACCGGTCACAGGGCGGTTTTAGTGCATTTAATTAACATATGCGCGTCTCAAAACCCCCTCCTCGGAGGATTTGCGCTGAGATGAAGCGTCGTTTGAAAATAAATACGTTTGCGTTGGTTCAGCTGACTGGACTTATAATCCTGAGGCTCACTGGCAGGTGTTTTCTCCTGCTGCCTGAGCACTGAAGTGAGGAGGAAGTTTGTGTGTAACAAATTGGCTCCGTTTTCAAAATGTTATGTTGTAGATGATCTAAACCGGTGTTACTCAGTCAGCAAGGCCTATTTTCTTGAGTCACCCAGTCTAATCACCACTTAGTCTTTTCATTTAAAAACGAATTTTTGTTACCTGCTTCAAGCCCAAGTGATGAAAACAAAAGGGGAGGTGCCTGATAACATATTCTGTGCGGTTGTTAAACCACAAGTGTTTTGCAAGTACATCTGTCTCCATTCATGACCTTTCATAAAAATTCCACAAGCACAGTAAACATTGTCAACGAAAACCGGTCGCCAGAACCTGTAACTAATGTCTGTTCCTCCTCCTTGAAGCAGGACCCATAGAGTTGATTGCTATAAGATGCTAAAGCTAAGAAATTTCAGGTTCCTTGAATATTTTAGGGTTGCATATAACTCCTCGGTAATCTTTGTGCAGTGAGGGAGCCGTGCCAAGATCTATCACAGGTAAATTATTTAATACACTTGGTTCTTACACTGAAACCCCACTAGGGTTAACCAGAGGACTCAGAACTTCAAGTGAAGCTCTTGATCCCCAGTTTGATTAACAGGATGCCAAGTACTTAGGTGTTCCTGGACAACTGATGTGCTGAGGCACGTCTCAGGTCTCCAGAACCACTACATGTTCCTCTATCAGCTGTGGCAGGTCACCAGGTGGTTTTCCTAGGCTTTTCGAAGTGTATTCGTGCTGTAGGTAGGCAGTGGTGCCTGCACCTATTGCTTGTACACACCAAGATCCCTTTCTTTACAGATTACATATGTTACATAGATTCTCCTCATTGAGAAATCCCTAGAGCTGGCAGGGGTCCACAACAAACCTGCGGAGAGCTAAAACAAAAATAACCCTCCACCTTTTCCATCTTCATTGCTTTTCTTTGGACAAGATCCAGCAAAATTTATTAGGAAAGGGTCATCAAGCATTGGAACAGGCTGCTCATGGAAGCGGTTGAGTCACCATCCCTGGAGGTATTTAAAAGACACACAGGGGGCACTCAGGGAGATGATTTAGCAGTGGCCTTGGCAGTTTTAGGTTAATGGTTGGAGTTAATGGTCGGACTTACGGTCTTAAATGTTTTTTTCCAACATAAATGATTCTATGATTCTATCTTATTTTCCCATCCTTCAGCCCTTGTGAGTCCCTCCCATAATTTATTTGTGGCAGCTGCATGGAGGGATAGGAGGGGATGGGTGAGGTTGAAGCAATCAGAAATGGTAGCATAGTTTCCTAGGCTGTGTTGCCTTGTCAGAGTCACAGGAAACAAAAAATATAGTCCACCAGCATGGTACCTTTTCCACTTTCTTACATAGGGGATGGACATTGCTGAACTCTTCTGTGACTTCTGTCACAGAAGGCCTTGTGGCCTTTGCAGGCCTTTATTTCTAAGAGGTGCCATAGAACCTATAGATTCTACTGGTAGTGCCCAGTGCTGTTACAGCTGTGTAACTATTGCATCCTGATAAATGAACATCAGACTCTATTCTTATTTTCAGTTTTTCAGTCTCCTCTGTTCAGATCTGACATTCAACCGTTCTTTGTGTTACAGAAAGCAGAAGGCAACATTACTTCAGACTACCTTGTAGACCTGTTGAGAATAAAAAAGAAGGTAGTTCTCAAACACTGCACTTGAGGCTGTAGTACATACTTAAAGATGATCACCTCTCCAGCATAGATGCTGAGTTTCTGGATGCTGTTGTTGTGCATGGGAAAAGGGAAAGATGACCTTTGGTAACCAAGTGGGAGGGCACTGCAAGTGATGACAATGCAGTTGCCAAGAATGGCATAGCTAGACAGTCATCCAATTATCACATGAAAGAAAGATTCAAATTCTAGTTTCAATACAGAATAATTTAAACCTCTTCATCTCCCTGGTATGAATAGTAAAACCTAAAGGAAATAGTGAGTCCTGTAAGCATGCTAAAAATAGTCTGTGTGTGTGTGTGAAGTCTCCTTGTGCTTCTGTGACGTAGTCTATTTGCTGACCAGCTCCCAGGTAACTGGAATGATAAGCAAGTGCAAAACTAAAGTGTCTTTTCCCTCTTCTGATTAAAAGTAAAATATTTCATTGGTAACTCCGGGCTTAATTTTATTAACATTCTGTTAACACGTACTGTACATGCAGCTAGATGGGATTAATACAAACATAATTATATTTGAAACAGCATTTGAACAAAAGTGCTGTAGTTTTATTAGGGCCAAATTCTTCTATATTTTTTCCTAAAAGATATATCAGGCTTCTCATCAAAACCTTACTTCCATCTACATTGCAAAACAGAACAGTATTTTACTATATTTCACTACATGGCTTATGTATGGTCTTGCTTCAAGTTCAGTGAGATAGGTCTTTTCCTTAGAGAATAAGAGGATCTATAATTCTTCTCCCTCCTTTCCTCCTTTTTTTTTTTTTCCTTTCCCTCCCCATTTCTTTTAAAAAAAGAAAAATTACAGAAGCCTTCAGGGAACAAACTGCAGTCTAAATGGAAACTAATCCCTCTCATGCTTCATTCACAAGCAGTTCAAGGCTGAAGAGCCATGATAGTTTCTTTTGTAAATGATCCTTCAACTTTGAATTCCCTGGTAGGAAATTAAGATAGTTTTAAGAGGCTCCACAAATGGGAAACAGACTTAGATGGGATAACGGGGGAGAGACAACCTTCAGCCAGACTGCTGTTACTATCTAACTAGCACAGATATACTTGTCCTTGCATTACCATGGCATAGAAAGTTTTCCTTACATTTTCAAAAGTTCTTTTCCAAGTAACAGTTGAACTAGAGTTCAACAGTAGTTTGGTGCAGCCTGAGGTTCCAATATCTGAGAGACTTATGCTAAGTAAAAAGTAAACCATAGGCTAGTCCAGCTGAACTCTGAATGTCTAGCTGCAAGCAAACCCATTTTGAATCACCAACATAAATATTTTATTCATTTTTTTGGTAGTTTTCACCTAAAATGTCACTCTCTTGGGTGGATCCTATGATGTTAAACAATGTGGTTGAATTAACACTACAAACCTGTTCATACAGAGGGCAGTACTTCGGGTCTCCCTTGTACCATGCTGTGTGTTTTCATCAAAAATTTTGGCCTTTTACCAAGTTCATCATGCTTTGGTTTTAAACTGGATAAGAGTTCAGGAGAGCTGGGGGATGAGGACTAATGAATACATGAATAATCTGATCTCATAAGATTTACTCAGAATGAATAAAAAGGGAATGTAATTCCCTCTAGACATACAGTAAAAAATTAATAACTGAAAAATCAGTGTAATACTTTCATGTCAAAGAGCAATGTTCTACGCAGCTGTCAGTTGATAGGTATTTATAGATATTCAGCATTTTTCCTCTGCAGAACTCAGGCTGGAGAGGACAAGTGCAATCACAAAACAGTTGTTTCTGGCACTGACTTTGTCAACCATTTCTAGACCAGAACTCCAAAACCTGCCTCTTGCAAACCACCTGCTTGGGATCCAGTTATGGCCCCTTGCGGTTTAGTACCTAACACAAGGTGGATCACAGGTCCCTAACAGAGCTGGAGCCGCCTGAAGCGACAGCACAAGTTCTCCCGGCTCAGGGCACAAGATCAGCAACCACCGCGCGCCCTTCTCCTTCCGCGCGGCAAGGGCCGCTTTCTGCTCTGCTAACACCTGATGTCAGCATCTCTCTGCTGGGGGCTAGACGCTGAGAAGCTCTGGCACGAGTCACCACAGAGGACTCGGCGGAAAAGGCCCGAGGCGG